GCAGTATCTCGGTAACCGTGGGTCCGATCGGCACGGGGAACACAGTATCGTGTAGAGAATCGAACGGGCTATCGAATGGTGTGCGGTGCAGGGATGGCACGCGCCACGTGCACCCGTGAGGGCACTTATGCTGGAAAATTGACGTTTCGGACAGATTTGGGACTTAATGCTATTTTCGGGTGATTGTTTGACGGAGCGGGTTCTAACAACGCCTGTTGGCAAAAGAAATGCACAGCCTCGCATGGAAAAATTGTGAAAAGCTAATTGATCAAAAACAAGGTGGAACAAATCGCTGGAGAAAATGGTATTTGTTAATGACTTACTTAATTACACGGGTTTTACTGCATAACCTGGTACGTTTGACAAATGAAAATGGCATAGTTGGAAAGAGCATTCAATTTTGTCCAAAATCCAACCATCGCTTTTTCATGACGAGCAGCAGTATTCTTAAAAATATAAATGTTTCAAACCTCTACATAGTAACTCATCGATGGCTTTCATTTTTCAATAACCTTCGTCAGCCTTTGTTATAAACTACACATGACATGTTCTATAGTAGAACGCATGCTCATCAGACACCAGCACCTCGATGCGATGGATATTTTTTCCCAAACCAAAATGCATAGCCGTCAAAAAGCAATCGACCGAAATGGATACATAGCCCACGGACACAAGACCAACCAAACGCCCACCGATCGAAAATACACCTTATTCGCGTTGCGGAGCAAGCGGGTCACCCTAGCGGGCCCCATTCAACCGCGGACCCGGGCCCTATCCACAAGGGGGCGCGGGCCCTATCCATATGGGGGCCCGGGCCACGTTCACCTTGGGCTCCGGGCCCCGTCCACCCGGGGCTCCGGGCCCCGTCTACCAGGGGACCCGGGTCCCATCAATCCGGGGGCCCGGGCCCAGTTCTCCCGGGGGCCACCCGGGGGTCCGGGCCCCGTCCACCCGGGGCCCGGGGCCCGTTCTCCCGGGAGCCCTTGCCCGTTCTCCGGGAGGCCCGGACCCATCCACGGGGGCCCGGGCCCCATCCAACCGGGATTCCGGGCCCCGTTCTCCCGGGCCCCGGACCCATCCACGGGGGCCGGGCCCTATCCACAAAGGGGGCCCGGGCCCGTTCTCCCAGGGGCCCGGGCCCGTTCTTCCGGGGGCCCGGACCCATCCACGGGGCCCGGGCCCCATCCACCCAGGGGGCCCGGGCCCGTTCTCCCAGGGACCCGAGCCAGTTCTCCCGGGGACCCGGGCCCCATCCAACGGGGGGTCCGGGCCCCGTCCATCCGGGGCGCGTTCTCCCGGGGTCCCGGACCCATCCACGGGGGCCCGGGCCCCATCCACACAGGGGGCCCGGGCCCGTTCTCCCAGGGGCCCGGGCCAGTTCTCCCGGGGGCCCGGGCCCGTTCTCCGGGAGGCCTGGGCCCTTTCTCCCGGGGGCCGGGGCCCCATCCAACCGGGGGTCCGGGCCCCGTCCACCCGGGGCCCGTTCTCCCGGGGGCCGGACCCATCCACAGGGGCCCGGGCCCCATCCACCCAGGGGGTCCGGGCCCGTTCTCCCAGGGGCCCGAGCCAGTTCTCCCGGGGGCCCGGGCCCCTTCCAACCGGGGGTCCGGGCCCCGTCCACCCGGGGCCCGGGGCCCGTTCTCCCAAGGGTCCGGACCCATCCACGGGGGGCCCGGGCCCCATGCACCCAGGGGGCCCGGGCCCATCCACCCAGGGGGCCCGGGCCAGTTCTCTCGTCCGGTTAGATTAGGACCTCTCTCCTCCCTCCCTCTCCCTCTCTCTCTCTCTCTCTCTCTCTCTCTCTCTCTCTCTCTCTCTCTCTCTCTCTCTCTCTCTCTCTCTCTCTCTCTCTCTCTCTCTCGAACGGGCCCCTGACAGAAATTTCGGGGGGGTCAGCTGACCCTCTGACCCCCCCCTGGCTGCGCCACTGCCTCTGGCAGTGAGGGCGTTGCGAAGTTGCGACATCTGAAGACCGTGCAGAGGTTCACTTATGACCACATGGGTCAGTGACCTGATCTGACCCGAAAATGCGGTTGGTGTCAAAAGATCCCGTTTGATTCAAAGGTCAGGTATGCCAAGCTTCAGCTCTCTATCGCCGGCGTGTTCGGAGCTATCGCGAAAAAAAGCCTATGGAGGGGCGGCACCCGCCCCCCCCCCCCCGGCCGGCGAGGGTTAACCCTCGCCGGACCTATTGGTTTTCTACATACGCGCCGGCCGAGGGGGGGGGGGGGCGGGTACGACCCCCCCCCTCGCCGTTTCGCCCCTGGTAGAGCTAGCGCGTCGCGGAAAAAACGAGCGTGTGCGCCGTTACGAGACGCAGAGATTGGTACCCGATTTTAAGGTCCTAGGTCAACCGGTGACCTCTGAGGTCAGGTCAAGTGCCCCAAGGTACGGTTCAGTTTTTGGTGAATAACTTCGCAAAAAACGGCCGCAGAGCGCCGATTTTGGCAGCATCGTGTTCGTCTCGCTCAGGCGCGTCGAATGGTATACTTTTTGTCCGGGTCAGGTTAACTTGGGGTGTTGACCTCAGGTCAAGGTCAGGTCAGCACCCCCAGGTCACGAAGTTGGTCGAAAGAGGTCATGTCGCATATCATTCGATTCGGCAGGTCTTCCTGAGTCTATTGGTGGCTTTTCCGATTCGCTAGCTCAATTTGATCAAGAGTTATTGACGAAAAACTAATATGACCTTGATGACGTCATAAATGACGTCACGCAAGGTCAACATTGCAAAAGTGACGCATCTAACCTTGCAAGGAGTGCATAAAATCACGATTCTGTGTGCTTGAGATAGTTGGAGATCGTTCCCGGCGCCAGAATAGCAGTTTTCATTTTTCCCCATTGACTTATAATGGTGAGGTCACGAAAATGACCTGACCTCATATGACCTTTAGGAAAAATCCGAGATATACAAGTTGTGGGACTCATAATGGATACTAGATCCTGCAAGTTTCATTTCCCTGTGACATCTCCTCTGGCAGTGAGGGCGTTGCGAAGTTGCGACATCTGAAGACCGTGCAGAGGTTCACTTATGACGTCATAGGTCAGTGACCTGACCTGACCCAAAAATGCGGTTGGTGTCAAAAGATGCGGCTTGGATCAAAGGTCAGGTATGCCAAGTTTCAGCTCTCTATCGCCAGCGTGTTCGGAGCTATCGCGAAAAAACCCTATGGGGGGGGCGGCACCCGCCCCCCCCCTCGGCCGGCGAGGGTTAAGGCCCTCAGAGACCAGTACAGGGCCTGCAAAGGGCAGGATGAGACCTTAAGATGCCGACTTGGGCCATCAGAGGATAATGTGGGTCCTTACAGGCCAGTATGGGCCCTCAGAGGTCAGTGTGGGACCCTAAAATGCCGGCATGGGCCGGTGTTGGACCTCAGAGGCCAGCAGAAGACCCTCAAAAACCAAGATGGGCCTCAGAGGCCGATGCGGACCCTTAGAGGCCGGCATCGGGTCTTCAGAATTCAGTGCGGGGCCCTCAAAGGCACCTAAAGGCTAGTCTTGGGACCCCAGAGACAGAAATGAGGCCACCAGAGGCCGGTGTGAGGCCCTCAGACGCCGGCTGGGCCCTTGAGGCCGGTTTAGGGGTCCTCAAATGAGGTCAATGTGGGTTCTCAGCGGTCAATGTGGGCGCTTGACCGCCACTGAAGGGCCCTCCGAGATCAGTGTAGGACCCTCAAAGACTGGTTTGGGAGCTGTTAATAGCTAGCGTGGGATTCTTGCGTCGCGTGACAATCGAATAAGGGCCAGAGCCCCATACGTCCATGGGGGCCCATTGGTTGTTTGGGGGGGGGCCAAATGATATGATGGTCCCCTGATTAGCCTTTGGAGGGGGAAGGGCATGGCCCTGATCCCCCTCTGCGACCGCCACTGCACTGAAAGTGGAAGGGGGAGGGGCAGAAACAGACATTGCTGGCCCCCAGCCTGTTTGAACCGAGGCTGAGGCACGGTCACCCTGGCCCCCAGCTAGTACGCCTTTGACGAACTATGCCGACCCCAAGCAGATAAGGTCAAGCGTTGGTCGTTTGTATACGCATTCTCCTGACCCGTGCTAGTATTGTCTTAGTATTGCCTATACCTTTTTAGTGCTCGCTGTCCCGCGCCTCGTATTCAACAAAATGCTGTCACCAGGACTCACAGTCTTGTCTCTGATATGGTTTCCTTCATTGAGTGAAGGAAATTGCGGTCAATAACGCTGTAGAAACAAAAAGGAATCCTCATTAAAGGGCAAACTGAATAGTTGTCAAGTTACCGGGTGGTAGGTTAGGTACAGACAGACACTTAAGTCAGCAAAAAGTGGGGGGGCCAGTTAACATTGCTGGCCCCCCCACCTCCGAAAGTGGGGGGGCCATGGCCCCCCCGGCCCCCCCTGTTCCTACGCCTATGCTTCCTGTGGCCACCGAGTCATATGTATGTATGTGTGTATGTGCGTGTATGTCACAGTGGATCGACGGACTATGATGACGGATGATATATGACAGAGCAGCGTCATCCCAGCAGTGGTCACGTCGAAGGTCACTGTCACTTGGTTGGTATAATAGGTAGGCTGTCGATTCAGCAGCGCTGGACAGCGCCGTACAGATATATTATCAGGAGACATTTTAAGCGCTTAACGGACAGAAGGAGAACACATAGAGAAAAAGAGGAGAGAAATAGTGAAGGAGAAAGAGACTGGGTGTTTGAGAGTTGCTGGAAATATCTGAATTGAACGTACGCAAAATAAGCCTGAACATTAGCTTCAAAATAAATGTTTATCGAATGCAAAATGAAATAACCGTAGCATAATTACATGACGCTGATTATGTTGCCACATGTCCTTCAAAATAATCCGCGATTTAGCAGCGAATCTGACCAGTTACAATCCACAAAAACAAGCAACCAACAAACATGTTTTCAGTCTGCCTAATCTGTGCCCAGTTGAATGGAAAGCCGCCATCGTGAACAGAGCGGGCGGCACTACCGCGTAATCCGGGGTCTGCAGAGCCGTTAGCACGGCAGAGACTCGCCTTTGTACTCCTTCCGGTAGTGCGTAGCCGTCTTGAAGTGGAACTTCTGAGTGCGGCCGGTGTCGAGCTCTGCGCTGATCGTCACAAGAACGGCCCCGATCACCAGCTGAAATGGAGCAGAAGACAGCGCTCAGACGATAGGATGACTTATTTCTAATCCCGTAATGATAAACGTTCACAAGAGATCACATGTTTTGTTTTTAATCATAACAACAAGCCTACATCGACTCCTCAAGTTTCTATTGGTGGGTGGGAGCCAATCCATTTGTCAACCAATTTGACACATGCTAATGATATGATAACTGAGGTGTTTAGGAATGGGGACACAAGGAGAATACTAGTTTTACAATCGTGACTATTTCTGTTGGTATTTATCACCTCTGACAGCCCCCCGTCTGGGCCCACGGTCACCAGTGCTGATGGTCTCGCCACCAGGGACACAGGGGTGATGGAGTGGTAGCACCATCGGTCGTCAGGGCCGAGGGGTCACGAGGTTTCAATTCGATAGATTCAGTTTGATTGCATTTCTTTTAGTGTAGCGTGAAGGATGGATGGATTTGGTAAAACTGCAAACATGTAATTTGACAACATATGAGACCACTGAGTAGTTTCTTAGGCATCTTGACGGTGCATCACGACTTTACGAGACGACGCGTCACGAAAAACCGCCCCATTAATTCAAATGCTCTCTGCCAGGTTACGAGTTTGGGTGGTAACAGTAACCGTGTTTACATAGGGTTCCCTTAATCTAACTTACTATTCCAACAGAATCCGTCTGTGAGTCTGTGAGTCTGTGTGTCCGCACATCGTGTAGTGGGTTCAATTAACCTCGCCTACAAGGCAGACGGTATGTCGTAGGAAGTTGAAAGTTGCACACCTTATAGGTGACAGAGCGGGTCAGCGCCTTTTCTAGGTTTCGGCTCGCTGGGGTGCACGGTTCGCGCGTGGGGCGCGCTGGAAGAACGCCAATGAAATTTTGATCGGTTCGTAGATCTTCATTGAGAGCCGGGGTCGACAAACTTTGTGGACTAAATGCATGCCGATCGGTGGCGGGTGCCTCGCATTGGCGGATGGGCAAGTTTTTAATTTGAATGAAAAGTGGCGAGATAATGTATAGATTATAAAAATGCACCGTGAAAGGTGACCAAGTATAAAAATGCACCGTGTTTGCCGCAATGCGTCACATTGGTGACAAGGCGTCATTTTTGCCGCAAATCGCACAGTTTTGTCAAATATGGTCCGATAAGGGTACAATTTGTTGCCAGGATACATGCTCAGCCAACAGGTTCAGATGCGCCGCGTTTGTCGCAATGCGCCACATATGCCACAAAGCGCCATTTCCGACAAATACGATTAAGCGTAATGGAATGGCACGAATAGGGGCAGGGCTGGGAACACTTTAAGTCTGATATTTAAGTACTGATTGGATCCAATTATTCTGTGACCTGACATGACCCGGCGGTGTTGGTAGGGGGGTAGGGGTAGGGGTAGGGGTAGGGGTAGGGGTAGTGGTAGGGGTAGGGGTAGGGGTAGTAGTAGGGGTAGTAGTAGGGGTAGTGGTAGGGGTAGTGGTAGTGGTAGTGGTAGATGTAGTGGTAGGGGTAGGGGTAGGGGTAGTAGTAGGGGTAGTGGTAGGGGTAGTGGTAGGGGTAGTGGTAGAGGTAGGAGTAGTGGTAGGGGTAGGGGTAGGGGTAGTGGTGGAGGCAAAAGTAGAACAGTGGCCCGGGCTGATCCGATCGGACGAGAGGCGACCTATGTGACCTGGCCTGACCTAAAGTGACCGGGGCTGACCCCTTTGGCCCATCTTGACCCCGTATCAGCGAAATTTCATCCAACAAAGCCCCCAGAACAGCTCTTTTTTCTCTTCACATTTCCGTCCATATCTACATATGCTTCTAGCCAACATATCGATTTGAAACGAACACCATTCGAAAGCAAATTGGCTGGTGCCGCAATTTTCTCCTACCACGCAGCAAAGCAAGTGGCGCAGCCGCTTGTCTATATTACTATTTGAACAGGATCCATCTGTCTGTCTGTTTGTCCGCCACGCCGTGTAGTGGGTTCAATTTAGCCGGCCTACAGGGCAGACGGTATATCGTAGGGGGTTGAAATTTGCACACCTTCTAGGTGACAGAGCGGGTCAGCGCCTTTTCTAGGTTTCGGCTCGCTGGGGTGCACGGTTCGCGCGTGCGGCGCGCTGGAAGAACGCCAATGAAATTTTGATCGGTTCGTAGATCTTCATTGAGAGCCGGGGTCGACAAACTTACTGAGCTAAATGCATGCCGATCGGCGGCGAGTGCCTCGCATTGGCGGATCGGCAAGTTATTAATTTGAATGAAAAGTGGCGAAAAAATGTGTTGATTTTCGTTCAATGGGAGCAGTTTGTGATGCAAGTATAAAAACGCACCGCGTCTGCCGCAATGCGTCACATTGGTCACAAGGCGCCATTTTTGCCGCAAATCGCACAGTTTTGTCAAATATGGCCCGATAAGGGTACAATTTGGTGCCAGGATGCATGCTCAACCAACAGGTACAGATGCGCCACATTTGCCGCAATACGCAACATTTGCCACAAAGCGCCGTTTCCGACAAAATCGAGTAAGGGTAATGGAATGGCACGAATAGGGGCATGGCTGAGAACACTTTAGGTCTGATATTTTAGTACTGATTGGATCCAATTATTCTGTGACCTGACATGACCCAGCGGTGTTGGTAGGGGTAGGGTAGTGGTAGGGGTAGTGGTAGGGGTAGTGTAGTGGTAGGGGTAGGGGTAGGGGTAGTGGTAGTGGTAGGAGTAGTAGTAGGGTAGGGGTAGTGGTAGGAGTAGTAGTAGGGTAGGGGTAGTGGTAGGAGTAGTAGTAGGGGTAGGGGTAGTGGTAGGGGTAGTGGTAGGGGTAGTAGTAGGGGTAGTAGTAGGGGTAGTAGTAGGGGTAGATGTAGTGGTGTAGTGGTAGAGGTAGGGGTAGTGGTAGGGGTAGGGGTAGGGGTAGGGGTAGGGGTAGTGGTGGAGGCAAAAGTAGAATTGTGGCCCGGGCTGATCCCATCGGACGAGAGGTGACCTATGTGACCTGGCCTGACCCAAAGTGACCGGGGCTGACTCCCTTGGCCTTTCTAGACCCCGTATCAGCCAAATTTCATCCAACAAAACCCTCAGAACAGTTTTTTTTTTTAATTCTCTTCACATTTCCGTCCATATCTATGCTTCTAGACGACACATCGATTTGAAACGAACACCATTCGAAAGCAAATTGGCTGGTGCCGCAATTTTTTCCTACCACGCAGCAAAGCAAGTGGCGCAGCCGCTTGTCTATACTACTATTTGAACAGGATCCGTCTGTTTGTTTGTTTGTCTGTCCGCCACGCCGTGTAGTGGGTTCAATTTAGCCGGCCTACAGGGCAGACGGTATATCGTAGGGGGTTGAAATTTGCACACCTTATAGGTGACAGAGCGGGTCAGCGCCTTTTCTAGGTTTCGGCTCGCTGGGGTGCACGGTTCGCGCGTGGGGCGCGCTGGAAGAACGCCAATGAAATTTTGATCGGTTCTTATATCTTCATTGAGAGCCGGGGTCGACAAACTTTGTGAGCTAAATGCATGCCGATCGGCGGCGAGTACCTCGCATTGGCGGATAGGCAAGTTTTTAATTTGAATAAAAAGTGGCGAGAGAATGTGTTGATTTTCATTCAATGAGAATAATTTATGATACAAGTATAAAAGTGCACCGCGTTTGCCGCAATGCGTCACATTGGTCACAGGGCGTCATTTTTGCCGCAACTCGCACAGTTTTGTCAAATATGGTCCGATATGGGTGCAATTTGGTGCCAAGATGCATGCTCAATCGCCGGGTGAAAATGCGCCACGTTTGTCGCAATGCGCCACAGATGCCACAAAGCGCCATTTCCGACAAATACGATTAAGCGTAATGGAATGGCACGAATAGGGGCAGGGCTAGGAACACTTTAAGTCTGATATTTTAGTACTGAATGGATCCAATTATTCTTTGACCTGGCATGACCCAGCGGTGTTGGTAGGGATAGGGGTAGGGGTAGGGGAAGGGGTAGTGGTAGGGGTAGTGGTAGGGGTAGGGTAGTGGTAGGGGTAGGGTAGTGGTAGGGGTAGGGTAGTGGTAGGGGTAGGGTAGTGGTAGGGGTAGGGTAGTGGTAGGGGTAGGGGTAGGGGTAGTGGTAGGAGTAGTAGTAGGGGTAGGGGTAGTGGTAGGGGTAGTAGTAGTGGTAGGGGTAGTAGTAGGGGCAGTAGTAGGGGTAGTGGTAGGGGTAGTGGTAGGGCCGGTAGGGGTAGTGGTAGGGGTAGTGGTAGGGGTAGGAGTATGGGTAGTAGTAGTGGTAGGGGTAGGAGTAGGGGTAGTGGTAGGGGTAGTGGTAGGGGTAGGGGTAGTGGTGGAGGCAAAAGCAGAACAGTGGCCCGGGCTGATCCCAGCGGACGAGAGGTGACCTATGTGACCTGGCCTTACCCAAAGTGACCGGGGCTGATCCCTTTGACCCGTCTTGACTCCGTATCACCCAAATTTCATCCCAAAATGCCCTCAGAACAGTTCTTTTTTAAATTCTCTTCACATTTCCGTCCATATCTATGCTTCTAGACGACACATCGACATGAATCAAACACCATTCGAAAGCAAATTGGCTGGTGCCGCAATTTTTTCCTACCACGCAGCAAAGCAAGTGGCGCAGCCGCTTGTCTATACTACTATTTGAACAGGATCCATCTGTTTGTTTGTTTGTCTGTCCGCCACGCCGTGTAGTGGGTTCAATTTAGCCGGCCTACAGGGCAGACGGTATATCGTAGGGGGTTGAAATTTGCACACCTTATAGGTGACAGAACGGGTCAGCGCCTTTTCTAGGTTCCGACTCGCTGGGGTGCACGGTTCGCGCGTGGGGCGCGCCGGAAGAACGCCAATGAAATTTTGATCGGTTCGTAGATCTTCATTGAGAGCCGGGGTCGACAAACTTTGTGGACTAAATGCATGCCGATCGGCGGCGAGTGCCTCGCATTGGCGGATCGGCAAGTTATTAATTTGAATGAAAAGTGGCGAGAGAACGTGTTGATTTTCGTTGAATGGCAACAGTTTGTGATACGAGTATACAAATGCACCGCGTTTGCCGCAATGCGCCACAATTATCTCAGGGCGTCATTTTTGCCGCAAATCGCATAGTTTTGTCAAATATGACCCGATAAGGGTACAATTTGGTGCAAGGGTGCATGCTCAAACAACAGGTACAGATGCGCCGCATTTGCCGCAATGCGCCACATTTGCCACAAAGCGCCATTTCCGACAAAATCGAGTAAGGGCAATGGAATGGCACGAATTATTCTGTGACCTGACATGACCCAGCGGTGTTGGTAGGGGTAGGGGTAGTGGTAGGGGTAGGGGTAGTGGTAGGAGTAGTAGTAGGGGTAGTGGTAGGGGTAGTAGTAGGGGTAGTAGTAGGGGTAGTGGTAGGGGTAGTGGTAGGGGTAGTGGTAGGGGTAGGGGTAGATGTAGTGGTAGGGGTAGGGGTAGTGGTGGTGGTAAGGGTAGTGGTAGGGTAGGGGTAGGGGTAGGGGTAGTGGTAGGGGTAGTGGTAGGGGTAGGGGTAGGGGTAGGGGTAGTGGTGGAGGCAAAAGTAGAACAGTGGCCCGGGCTGATCCCATCGGACGAGAGGTGACCTATGTGACCTGGCCTGACCCAAAGTGACCGGGGCTGACCCTTTGACCCGTCTTGACCCCGTATCACCCAAAATTCATCCAACAAAGCCCCTCTTTTTTCA